GACTGAAACCTCGTGCATGTCATGGGCGCCACCATCGAAAACCATTGCGCCACGGATGACCCGCCGAAGCTGGAGGGCAATGTCGCCAAGTACGACAACGCGACGTACTCCGAAGGTGGACACATCAACTTCGAGGGCGAGGACGACGACAATGGCAGGACGAGGAGGACGTCGAGGACGACGAGAATGGCATCCAACAGGACAATCGTTACAAGCCATCCTAAATGAGGCCGCCGTGGTACGTTGGAGGGCACCGAGCGCTACAAGCGCTCCAAGTAAATCCTCTGCTTGGCCACCCGAGCAAAAGGTGCATCCACATTGCTCTTCTGCTTCCCGCCCCATCTTCCATCAGTAGATGAGGGCGGTACCGGCAAGACTGGGCTTACTACGCCGCGTGAGCGCAGACACTACAGGACAACCGCGAGGACGTTTGCGCCCTCGACGTACTCTGGACACCCACCTGCCCGCGTACTCATACTCAGCCGTTACACATACTACGTTACCAGGGTCTTACACCAGGACATTGATCACGCAGGGTACCATCATGCAGATATTGGGTCCAGTGCATCCTCCTTGCATACCTACTACATAATGTCGGTTGTGAATTGTCGCATCGACGATGCTCCCAGAGATCAGCTACTACTAGGAGGGGCTGGGATCTGGCTACGCGATTCACCGTTGCATAAAGGTATACAGGTTGTTACAACAAGTTTCCCAGGGAGATGATGACAGGCAATATTTCAAGACCAGCGACATCAGAGCTGCACTCGGTCACCACCAGCGTATCGAAGTATACAAATCCAGCTGCATCGAAGGCACGTGTGAGGTTACCGTCGATGACTGCACTGACGGACCACAATATTGACAAAACCTATAGCAGCCCCTGCGAGATGGTTACCGGCATGACGCCAGCAACTACATCCTGATGGAGACTCACCCACATGACATGGCAGTTCTGTTATATCACTACATGCCATGGGACCCTGACAGGGGGGACTACGTCACGCTGGACATCGGCACATGGGCACCTACGATCGGCATGTTTTAGAAGGCGATCAGTACGAAACTAGTTGTCCAGCCATACGCTTGGACGCAGACCTGTGCATCAGTATGAAAGGCCACTACATGTACCACAGCGAATGTGATTTGGCAAACGAACGCAAGTTACATGACAAGCCTACTGTTACAGGCCGTTCTGAAGGACTTCGTGGACTTGATTGACCAGGATAACCACTCGATTGCACAGGAATATTGTAAGTCTAGTGGCCCACCCTCCCCAATGGGTTCACACAACAATCGCACCGACCTTCGATTCGATTTAGATGCGCTAAGCGCGTGGTAGCACCACGGAGGAGGTTGACTAGAACACCGCCTCTTAATATCCGTAAGGGCTTCGCTCCCTGCTGTCGGCCTCCTCTCTCGGATCATAAAATCTGCAAGAGATGTGTTGTGAGGCCTGGGCGCCGTCGTGAAGCAGCGTGGGAACTCCGAACGGGGGCCACTGAAGATATGAGCGTGCCCGAATCCACCAACAACTTAAGGAACATCGCAGATGTTGGCCTGTTGAGCCCCTCTTGGGGGTGCTCTTGGAGCGCTCTTGGAGCATCTCGGGCCGTCTTGAAACCATGTTGGGGCGTTGGAGCACTCTTGGGCCGTCTTGGAGGCCTCTTCTACCGTCTTGGGGGCCTCACTGAAGGATTGTGGCCTCGAAAACGTGAATACTGTGTCGTTTACACGGGTTTACGATTTCGGGACCGCGCAGAAGGTATATTGTCAGATGGATCGTGGCTTCAGGGGCGGAGGTATTGAGTAATTGACGAGAGGGTATTGCCTCGGAAACGCGAATGTTTGAATACTTTGTGGGGAACTATGGTCTCGGGAGCGCGAACACAGCGTAATTCTGCGAGGGCTTATGGCCTCGGGGACGCGAATATCGTGTAACTAACAAAGGATTCTGGCCTTGGGGGTGCGAGTCTGGAGTAATTTACAAAGAATTATGGTTTCGGAGGCGCGAGTATCAAGTATTTTTCATGTCCCAGGATCCCCCAGAAGTTCTGATCCCCCCAGGTGGTGGTAACCAGGGCCGTTTTCGGCTCCACCCCTCGCGCGGATTTCAACAACTCTCAATCGGAAGCAGAACGTAACATTATACTGCGGAAGGTTTGAAGCTGGAGTTGGAGCAGGGAGAACCAAGCCTAATCAGCGGAGTCTTGTGGCCCCACCAGGAAGCCAGCGGATTACTTCAGAATCATACGTCGGTGCGCCGTTCGTGACACCAGGTGCAGCATCACCGACAATCAATGCAAAAACACACAGTCTGTGGGAGAAAAACACACACTGTGGGAAAACCACACTGTGGGAAAACAAGCACACAAAACACATACAAAAAAAAACACACACGGTGGGAAACAACAGAGTGTGTGTGTGTGTCTGTTTTCCCACAGTGTGTGTGTGTGTGTGTGTTTTCCCACCGCGTGTGTGTGTGTGTGTGTGTTTTGTGTGTGTGTGTGTGTGTGTGTGTGTGTGTTTGTGCTGCGTCTGCGGCGCAGCAGGCACGGTGCGCCTTGTACAGTCGGGGCCCTGAAGAAGGAACCCTTTTCGTTGGGGAGGGGCTCCGTGTTCCTTAGTGTTTCGCAGCTTGCCTCAGGTTTTCCTTATGTTTTCGATCGGAAATCGAAGGTTAATTTGTGGAACAAAAGGGGCCTCGTTCCCTATTTAGGGTTCCTTAGGTCAACGCCCCGACTGTACAGCCCTGCGTGCAGGGTACGCCGTCGTTGGCATCTGCCGCCGCGCCTCCCGTGTGCCCCCTCCTCTTGTGTGGCGTGCAGTCGCTCGACCCACCTCCTCCTCCTCCTCCTCCTCCTCCCTCCTCCTCCTTCCTCCTCCTCCTCATCCCTCCTCCTCATCCTCCTCCTCCCTCCTCCTCCTCCTCCTCCTCCTCCTCTTCCTCCCTCCTCCTCCTCCGTCCTCTCCTCCTCCTTCCTCTCCTCCTCCTCCTCCCTCCTCCTCCTCCTCCTCCTCCTCCCCCCCCTCCTCCCTCCTCACTCCTCCCTCCTCCTCCTCCCTACTCCCTCCTCCCACCTCCGCCCTCCTGGTTCCATCTCCTCGGCCTCCTCATGCTCCTCCTCCTCCTCTCCCCATCTCCTCCCTCCTCCTCCTCCTCATCCTCCATCGTCCTCCTCCTGCTCCTCCTCCCTCGTCCTCCTCCTTCTCCTCCTCCCTCCTCCTGCTCCTCCTTCTCCTCCTTTCCGATGACAACCTCGATCGGTCGGTCTCGAGGCTTAGCCTGACGCACCAGCTGCCCTGTATCATTTCGGCGCACCCTGGTCCTGGGCCACAGCATGTACTCAGGCGCCTGGAAGCTGCACGTTCTCGCACGGGTAGGTAGGCGCGAACCACTTCTGGAGCGACGTTCGCTCCTCCTCCTTTTCGATGGCTTCAGCATCCAGGATGGTTCGCAGGTGGCCTCCTTCCCGCTTCCCCCCCCTCCGGAACGGGTAGGCCCCCGCGGAGAGGAGGAGGACGGAGGAGAGGAGGAGAGGAGGAGAGGAGGAGGAGAGGAGGACGGAGAGAGGGGAGGAGGCGGAGGGCGGTGGGAGGAGCGGACCGGAGGGGAGGGAGGAGGAGGAGAAGAGGGAGGAGGGAGGTGAGGAGGAGAAAATGAAGGGAGGAGGAGGGAGGGAGGAGGAGGGAGGAGGCGGAGGGCGGGAGGAGAGGAGGAGGAGAGGAGTAAGAGACACGGGGCGCTGAGAGAATGCGAGGAGAGGAGAAGGGGGAGGTGCAAGGAGGAGTGGGGAATGCTGCCGCACGCATCGGAGGCAGCCGCGGGATCAACCTCGGTCCATGGTTTTCGTGGCTTTCGGGAGCATCGCGAGGGGCTTTTCCCCATGACTGGCTTCAGGTCTTTCTCAGATCGTACCAAGAGGAGAAGGAGGAGGAGGAGGAAACGAGGAGGAGGAGGAGGAGGAGTGAGGAGGATGAGGCAGGAGGAGGAGGAGGAGGAGGAGGAGGGGATGGAGGTGTCAAAAGATTTAGAATGGGGATCATCATGTTGTTGAAGGCGGGCGGGAGGATGAGTGATGCGTGAGGGGTGGGCATTGAGCAGCGAGCAGTGGGGAGCGAGCAGGACTGAGGAGAAAGCGGAAGGGGATGAGCAGGAAGAGGAAAAGGAGAAGGAACAGCGGTCGGATGTTTTTTCTTTATATTTTTATATAGAAAAAGAGGTATCAGATGAGGTTGAGGAGGTTGAGGAGGTCGAGGAGAAGGAGGGGATTGAGGAGGAGGAGGAGGCGGAGGAAGGGTGGAGGAGGAGGAGAGGATGTGATGATGATGATGATGATGATGATGATGATGATGATGATGATGATGATGATGATGATGAGAGATGATGATGATGATATGATGATGATGATGATGATGATGATGATGCTGCTGCTGCTGCTGCTGCTGCTGATGATGATGATGATGATGATGATGATGAGGAGGAGGCGGAGGAGGAGGAGAGATGTGAGTGAGGAGTGGGGAACGACGACTGAGGAGTGACACGTGTGGCGCGTGGATAAAGCAGCGAGGAGGAAGGGGAAGTCTTGAGGCCACGACCTTCGAGAAAAACTTCTCGGACGCGATATCCAAGGGGTCGAAGCGCAACTCCACGCGTTTCGAGGTGGAGCTGAAAGACCGGCTCGCGCGCGAGCTCAAGGTGCTTGCCGGTCCAAGCTCGAAGCTCGAATAAAAACGAGGAGCCATCAAGCTGACACAGTGTCCCACGCGTCTCATGCCCCTTCCCAGCGTGTCTGCCATCAACCCATCCCTCTCTTCCTCATTCATCCTCCCCCCTTCCCACCCCTCCTCATCCTCGTCCTGCCTCCCTTCCTCCTTCTCCTCCCTCCTTCCTGCCTTCCTCCTTCTCCTCATCCTCGCCCTGCCTTCCTCCTCTTCCTCATTCATCCTCCCCCCTTCACACCCCTCCTCATCCTCGTCCTGCCTCCCTTCCTCCTTCT